CTATCTATCAATTCCTCTAGGTTTTGCTTTAAGTTGTGGTGTCCTCTCAGCTTAGTTCTAAGGTCTCCTTCTGATTTCCACTTGCTGTTACTTTCATCCCATATGTGCTCAATCTTCCATATGCCTCTCTCTAMCCAAGTCCTCCATCTCTTTCCCCTCGCCTTGAGGGACCATGCCYTACCATTTGGATYTTTTAAGAGGTCATTTCCAAACAGMGGTTGTCTCAAAATCTCTTCTTTTGTTCTCGGACTTCTCSTYCTTTGTGGGAAAGCCTCCCTCCATGCTGCTATCAGTTTTGCCCAGTGGCTACTTGGGGGATCCGAGTTCGGTAGTTGGTTCCTTTGCCTTGGTCTGCCTCCTTCTCTTCTGGGTGTCCAGTATCTGTTCATGATCCAAGAATGGCCCTCTATGCTATCATGTGCTTTGAAAGGAAGCAGGTTTCTTATTTGGTATATGGCCATTTCTTGTCATGGTAGTTCTGTTTTCAATAACAGCCTTAGGATCCACTTTGTCTGGAGAGCTTTATAGTCTGCTGAGGGATCTATGAGGCTGATCCCTCCTTCCTCTATTGGGTTGGTTACGTATTTCCAGGCTACTTTGGGTATGAATTGATTCCTGGATGCGTCCCCTGTCCATAAGTAGGCCTCTGCCTTTCTCTTTAAGTCCTTTGTGAAGCTGGTGGGTGGGTCCCAGATTGACGCCGTGTACCAAACCATGGAGAAGATCGACGAATTGATAACTATCGCTCTACCCATCAGTGATGTATATATTTTTTGCCATCCCTTGTATTTGTTCATGACGGCTGCGAGTAGGTTCGCTGCTATTGAGTTGCTGGTCCCTGTCAGGGTAACTGTGATTCCCAGGAATTTGARGGGGGCTTGGTGGTCTATCCATTGTAGCCCCTGSGTTGATTYGTTGTTTGGGGGGGGCGGTGTTTCTGAGATCCACCATCCTGCTGTTTTCTTCCAATTAATCTTCATTTCGGATGCTAGTTGGAAGGCTTCCATCGCCTTAGTCAGTGCTAGGAAGGATGAGTCCGATGCTCTTATGAGCACTGTTAGGTCGTYTGCGAAAAGCATCACTGTTGGGAGTTGGATCCGCTTATTCCGTCCGTCATCCAGAGTCTGAAGCCTTTCTATGGAGGGGTCTTTCCGTAGGAAGGTGGCTATTGCCTCCATAACGAAGAGGAATATTGGAGCTGCTAGTGGGTCTCCTTGCCTTATCGATCTCGTCATTCTGTATGATTCTGATAGATGGTCGTTGACTTGGACTCTCCCTCTTGCGTCCGCGTACAGGACTCTCACCCATCTCCTGAAAACTGTGCCCACTCCCATTTTCTCCATGCATTGCTGCAGGAAGTCCCAGTTGACTTGATCGTAGGCTTTTTCGAAGTCAAAAAAGAGGATGGCTGCGTGTAACTTTTTGTCTCTTATTAACTTGGTTGTTTCATTCAGACAGATTACATTGTCCAGTATGAATCTTCCTGGGATGAATCCTGTTTGATCTAAATGGAAGCATTTATCGGTCACATTTCTTATTCTGTTTGCTAGGACCTTTGCTATTATTTTATAAGCTACTGTTAGTAAGGATATTGGCCTATAATTTCTTATGTCCTCTCTTTCCCCCTTCTTGTATAGTAGTGTTACTACTCYCGTGCTAATGTCTTCTCCCAATGTCCCTCTTGTATATGCTTCTTGGTAAAAACGCAGGAGATCCCTCCCTAGCATAGGCCAGTGTTCCTGCCAAAATTCTTTCGTTAGCCCGTCGATGACTGGGACCTTGTTTGGTTGCATGGAGCCGAGTGCTCCATGCACTTCTGCTAGTGAGAGGTCTAAGTATGCTGCTGCTTCTGGCTTGATGCAGGTGTCGAGGTGTCTTAGGAACTTTTCCCTCGCCCTGTTGATAACTCCTCTATTTTCTTCTGTTGATTGTGATGTATATAATTTTTTGTAGAAGCTCGTGGCTATTTGTAAGATTTCTTTCTGTTGGTTTTTAAGGTTTCCCCTTTCATCCTTCAGTTCTAGGACTCTGTTGTTTCTACAATTAGATTTGATTCTTTGGAAAAAGAATTTTGTCATTGACTCGTTACTCTCCCAGTCCTTTATTCTTGCTCTGATGCTTAGGCCCCTTCTCTTCCAGTTTGCCCATTGGTTCAATTTCTCTTTTGCAGATGATAGTAAGTTTTCATAAATTGGAGAGCCTGGATTGTGTGTTAGGTTATATTCCKCTGTTTCTACTATGGATTCGAGGAGCTCTTGTCTTTCCCTTCTTCTTCTGGCTTCGTTCCTTGACTCCTTGCGTAATTCCTTACTTACGTTCTGTAGGGTTTTTCCGAAGTTTAAGATTGTGTCCTCCCCCTGTCCTTGTTGAGTGTGATCTTCCCATGCTTGTCTAACCACCCTTCTGAAGCCCTCTAGCTTTAGTAAGGAGTTATTGACCTTGTAAAATCCCTGGCCTGCAGCATTATCTAGGCCAAAGTTCAAAATGAGTCCTATTTGCTTGTGGTCAAAGCCCTCGTAGAAAGGGGTTTTAAAGATTGTCGAAGCTAGTACGGTCCCCGATAATGATTCTGAGATCAAGAAGTAGTTTATCCTAGAGAAGGATGTTCTCCCCTGCTGTGTCCTCCTGGTGCACGTGAATCTCTTGGCATCTGGGTATCTTGTCCTGAACGGGTCTATTAGTTCCTTCTCTGTGATAAAGTCTATCATTRTGTGGGCTTCCRCTTCATCATACCCTTCCCTAGCATGGGATATTYTATCAAGGAGTGGGTCAAYAGTAGCATTCCAGTCTCCTACTGCTATGATATGCCGGTGGTTCGGGCATTCCTGTTTRATAACTTCTATTGTTTCCTTTCTTTGGGCGTTAGTATTTGGGGAGTATATGTTTAGTAGTGTTATTTCTTCCTGTCTGTAGCTGAAATCTATTYTAATCCACCTACCTCCTTCGGTATCTTTAGTTACTTGGCTTATTKGTAAGTGTTGYAGCGCTTTGGATTTTMCGTGGAAAAGAATTAGTACTCCCRCSGATGCTGAGCTGGGGCTATTTACCCATTCTGCTCTCCATACATGCCTCAGTCTTCTCTCTATTTCCTYCCGTGTGGTTTGATGATCATCAGAGCTGGTTAGGTGAGTTTCTTGTATGCAGACTATGTYTGGTGGGTTATTGTCAAACCATTTGAGGTTAGCTGTTAAAYTGAACCATTTCRCTGGGGTCGATAAGAGGGTGGCCAGCCCATGTACGTTCCATGATCTTATATCTAGYTCTGCCCTTTTCTTTGCCTTGTGGTGCTCCTTCTCTCCTCCCTCATTTTGCTCGCCCCCCCCGTCCATGGTTCAAAGTTCCAGCCTACCGGTTTATTTGTTTTGTCTTAATTCAAGGGGATGGTGCAGACATCGTTCGCRGAGTTGTCCCCTCTCCCACCTCCTGAAGTTCCTGCAGCCTGTCTCCCAGSTCTCTTTGTCCCATCTTGTGAATTTTCTGGGCGAAGGTGGTTGYCAGGCTTGCCGYTRRTAGTTCCGGCAATGCACTTGTGCCAAGGRCTGTKTACGRTARCTGTGAGATTTGCCACCAAGGGCGCCATTGCAGGTTGCTTTTTAAGGAAGACCCTGGGTTGTATATGGCTACCACTGGTCTTACATCYAAGGTTTCCTCTTTGTTTTCAGTCCCCCTTCCATTCGTGGTGGGTACCCTCAACGTTTCTCCYAACACCCCCACTTTGACTGGCTCCTTTTCAGAAACCATCGRTGTAAGTCTCTCCTCTATWTTTTGRCCCCTTTCCAATMTGGGGAGAGCAAAGTYRGTTGYTGTAGCAATCTGYCARTCCTCTGTCTGCACATCAAACATCATGGCCAGGATTGTTCTTGAGGGTAACARCATCTTGCTTGTTGTTACARTCTTGTTCCAGAAYTCCGCYTGTGTGCAGTCGTTTAAGGAGCCCACCGTGACTGTTGACACTCTCATCTCCTCATTCAGGTCTGACAGCCTTTGGATCTGTGCTTCCAACACTRMAGATTGCAGCAGCAGCGTTTCCTTTTCATTGTTYTGTTCCTCCCGTTCTTGTTGTTTCCYTGGGYTGTTCTYTTTCCTTCCCTCCTCACTTTGCCCCTTGTTGTTCCCCCTTTGTTTCCTGTTTTCTTTCCCCTTCTCTCTCCTTTGGTTTCCMTTCTTCCTCTCTTCCTCCCCTTTTTTGTTGTAGGTCTCTGGTAGCTCGGGCATCTTGTACMTGTCCTCTCTCCATTCTCCTTTTGCTCCTTGGCCCTYGTYCTTTCCTCCTCTCCTTTGAACCTTTGCCCGGTCCCTCTTGATTYGRCAATATTGYTGGGCATAATATTCTGTCATTTCCTCCTCTTCCTTGAGCGGTTCATATGGGTTTGYTGTGAGTGGGATCTCTTCTACCCTTGCCTTCRCTTCTTCTCTCACATAGGYCATATGCAGTTCAAACATACTTGCTCTYTGTGCTTTCATTGTTTGGATGTATTCCTTSATTTCCTCKATGGGTCTGTTKTCCCATTYTTCCTCTTCTTGCCCAYAGTAGTAGTCTTCRTCAGCCTTTCTTCTGACGGGCTCTTCTTTGGTGATTTCTCCTCCTTTCCTCTTTGTCCCGCTTCTTCTGTCCTCAAACATTTCCACATCCTGCCCTTGTGCCTCCCCATTCTCCGCATTGGCTTCCCTTTCTTGGCCTGCTCTTGAGTTCCCTTTGCGTGTGTATTGTACCACCGTGCTGTCTGGTGAGCTGTTCGTTGTTGTACCCAAGTGCGCTCCTTTCTTCTTCCCTTCCTTTACCACTTCCAACCAGTTCCTTTCAGCCAGCTCCCCTGTTTCGTCCAAGTCCATTTGGAGGTCCCTTAACCTCCTCTCTTCCTGCACTCTTTCTTTGTTTAAAATATGATCAGTTGTGAAGATCTTAGTGGACTTCTTGCCGACCTTCTTGGTCTGCCAACTGCTGTCAGATGGGGGGTAGATGTCTGGTCTTTGGGTTGGCTCCCCTTCCATGACCCATACCCAGTCCGGGATCTCTAGATTGTCATTAAAGACCCAACCTATGTACCTGGCATCCCTGACAAACCAGAAGCCAGGTTCTCCCTCTACTTCCTCGAGGCTGGTTGGCTTCAATGGTCTGTTTCTTGCTGAATCTGCATTCTTTTGGGCATCTTGGGTCTGTTCCCATGTGTCCTCTCTGTCTACATTTGAAGCACAGCGGGTTGCTTTTGGTGGAGACAACTACCTTCACTATTTGATCCCTGACTGCAAAGTGTCAGATTTCTGGTAGTTGTGGCGAGACTGCTCCGTGAGTGTTTAGGCATGCCATCATGGTGTCATGCTGCGGTACTAGAAAGTATGGGGTAGGTGTGATCCAATCCACGATCGGAAATTGCCCGTACTCCTCTTGCAATCTTGCCTTGATTGCCCCATGCAACCCCTCCCGTATTCCGTCAAACTGAATCCAAAAGTACTTTTGCATCAGCTGTTGTCGGTATTTAGAGGGGGAGGCCTGTGTTGTTTTGGTTGGCGCCCAGGGGTAGACCGTTACCACTGACGAATTGCAGGTAAAGGATTTGTTCTTAAGGAATTCTGCTTGTTTTTCCTCCTTGCAGACGACCATTATTGTGTTTCTTCCTCTACTGTGGAATGTTACTTTGGGTTCCATTCCCGGGATCGGTTCTATGCTCTTGAGCTTTTCCCACAACCATTTCAATTTCTCCGCCCTGTTGAGCTCCTGGCTTTTTTTGGAGAAAGTGAATAGGACTGCATGCTTAGAATAAAACTCATCCAGGGACGGCAGCGATTCTCTTGGGTATTTCCATATCGTCACTTCTTCCTTAACCCCGTTTTCGATGTGAAGTAGCTCAGTCCTTTCTGTCATCTTCACTTTGGTCTTCTCTGCAAGCCAATTTTGAGTCTCCATTCCCACTCCTTCTTTTGCCATCTTTTCCCTTGACTGATTCTCTTTCCTTCCTCTCTTGGTGACCCCCTTAGGATGTTCTTTGCTTTGTTTGTTGGCTTAAAGGTTTGTCTTCTTTGTCCCTTGTTTATGTCGTGCAGGGTTCCGAGGTGCAGACTGTCAGTGTTGGTGTGTTCAGCGTCTCTTTAAGTCCCAGTATCTGTTGGTTTTTGTTGGGGGGTTGGGATTGATACCAATTCCAGAGGTAGCCTTGGTATCCCTCCCAACTGTATTGAGGACTCCTAAACTCCCGTGAAGCTCAGTGGCTGGTGTGTGCCTTTGAGAAGGGAAAGGTGGAGGTGTGTGGAGGGTGAAAAGTCTGCGGTGTGTCTGCAGTGCTGAGATGAGGATTAGGGGGTAGTGAGGGAGGTTCTGAAAAAAAGGACAGCACTTGCCCTCCCCTCTTGGGGATCGGTTTATGCTTTTAGCTGAGAGGGAGGATTATGAAAATTTGGGCAGCGGTTAACCTCCCCTCTTGGGGAACGGTTTATGCTCAGATAATGTCCGGTCCAGAGGGACTGTTAACCTATATTGAAGAGGGAGAGTCTGTGTCCTGCCTGTGTCCTGCCTTTAGAGGATCGAGCCCTGGGTCCGATGAGTGTCTTAAATCAGTCAGCTATAGGCTTAGTGAGACTAGGATAGGAAAGCCACTGATTGTTGCAATGGTAGTGTTGATGATAACGGGATATGAATTGATAATGCAAAATTATCAAAATAAGGTTACTAATGAAATAATAACAGTACTCATCAACCTTCGTTATTGATTAAATAAAGACGACGGATAATGATAATAATAATGCTAATAATCGTAATGACTAATAATAATAATAATGATAATGAATGTGATAATGAATGTAAAAGTGGGGTCTTTGGGAGTGAGGGATGGTGAGAATGTGGTATGTGAAGAGACTGTGGGTTGGATTGGGAGGGAGGAGGGAAGGGGTGATGTATGGTGGGTGGGATAAATGGGTGGGGAGGGAGAGGAAGGGTAGGGAGTCTAGGGGTTCGAGTGGGTTGGGATCCTGTGTGAGAGTTCGGGTGGGGGGGGGTGAGAAGGGTGGGGATTGGATGTTGGGGGAAAGGAGGGGTAATGTTGTGAGGGGTGGAGATCGGGAATGTCGCCTGATGTAGGGTGATGGGAAGGGGGTGGGGGGGGATCAATGTGGAGAAAGTTTAGGGGGGAGTGGTAGTGGCGTTCCTATTTCATTTACTATGAGACACTCCTTTGTTGGGCTTCGGACCTCTTAAGGAGCGTGATCTCGTCGTCGTACTTGATTGCCACGCTAGACTCTTCCGTTTTAGAAACGGGTATCAGCCGTGTGTGACGTGAACTCGCTGACGACAGATCTGTCTCCTTGGTGTAGTGTCGTTCTCCCGATTTGGGCGGTCGCTCTTGGTTGTCCCTCTCGCTGTCCGCAGGTTATTTCTTGCTCGGATGAGGATAGGCTAGACCAGGGATCCGTGAATCTTACCTTTTTATTTGGTGGGGACCGTTCGCACCTTTCGGAATGTAATCATGACGAGCTTGGAAGTTGCTTTCTTGCCTTGTCCTCCCCTTGTTTCGAGCGATAGAGTTTTGCCTGGCGCCGGAGTCTTCCTTCCTCAATTGGTAAAGCTTTCCCTCCGTCCCTTGTTCTTTCCCCTTTCTTCCCTTTCGTTGCCTTTACCTTATCTTAGTAAGGGCTCGTGATGATATCTGTCCACCCTTTTCCCCTTACACTGATCTCGAATTTTCCCCTTCTTCGCTTCTCACCTTACGCTTCCCTTCCCTTCACGGCTACCCTCCTCTGATTTTTCAGTCGCTTGCTTTGCCCTTGTTGTGATCTGTAAGACAGCATCCGAGTGTGTGGCTTCTAGCGACTTGCTCCCGTTATTGCACCCTGTTCCCTCGTAGTCCGAAGTTGGCAGGAAAAGAGCGATTCCCCTCGCGTCTCACCCCACGTGGCTCTTCTTGCGTTGGGATTCTCTCTTTACTCTTCCTCTCCTTCTCTTTCGTCTCTCTTTTAAGATGTGTTAAGATTTTATTGAGTTTATACTTTTTTGGGTATAGTTTTGTATGATAATATATATCATCCTTTCTCCCTCCTGTCGGAAGCCCACCTCCTCTTTTCTATTCTTGGAGCGTTCGCCCTCGTTATTCTTCCTCTTCACTTTCCCTCCTGTTTCCGACGCTGCTTGTCGCGTTGTGACGCGCCCCTTCCTTTAGTACACTCCCTACTCTCTTCCTCCCTTTCCCTCCCGTCCCGCTTTTGTCCCTTCTTTTCCTTTCAGCTGTTCGTCTCCTCAATCGTCTGAGTATTGATTCTTCAGCGTATTTTACGCTTCATGCCTTATGCAGGTCCTGGTGTCTACGTTCTCGCTCTTCGCTCTCCTCTCTTCCCCTCCTATTACTGTGTGGTTCGTGTTGGTCATGTGAGGGTCAGGCCCGAGGGCGTGGCGAGACGTGGCRACCTTGGGCTCCCCCYGCTCAATCTTCCCTGGTCGAACTAGCGTAGTGACAAGGGGTGTGCTCCCCTGCGTGCGTGGCGAAATTTCGAAATCTCAAAGAAACTTTCCCGCCTTTGCCCCTCCTATTCCTTTTTCTCTTCCTCTGCCCATTTCTTGAGTTGGAGCACGGCCTCGCCGGTAAGTATGGTTCGACTTGTCTTTCTTCTCTCTTGTCCTTTTCCTTTACACACAATTCCCACGTTCGGATTCGAACTCGAAGGGTGGTAGTCTCCTCCTTTGTCCTTACCTATACTTAGTTATGTCTCCCATTCCCCTCGCTTCTTTGCACTCTCCTTTGGGAAACCTGAATGCTCGTCTTCCCTTCGTTTCCCGTCACTGTTGTCTTTTCCTGTACTTAGTTACACACCACTTCTCTTGTTGTTCTCGAAGACTTCATTGCTCCTCCCATCCCTCCGCTTCCTCCTCCTCCTTTCTCCGTCCCTTTCTGTCGCTTGCTTGATTACGAGTGGCCACGCCCGAGGGTTGAGGTGTGGTGCAAGCTCGCCTCCCAGTTTCCCGCCCTGCTACTTTCGAATTTGAAGCATGATGATGCGCGCGCGCCGCGTGCTTTTCCGCGTGGGGGAAAATTCACCGTGGTGTGGTTGCGAAATTTAGCGCTCGGAATTAGCACTAACCGGTCCGGCGCTAGCGCGAGCTCCGCTCTGCATGTCGAAATAATATATATCGTCAGGTGTTACTCTTTATAAGTTATAACAACACCTTTTGACTTGACTGATTGCTTGGGTTTGAGGTACCTGTGCAGTTGTGTCTAGTATGACGGCTTTGTGTTGGCTGCTCGTCCATCGAGATAGCATCATTGCACCACGTTGACTAAATTAGATGGACTGTTTAAAACTGAGGTAAGAAATAAAATATAAGGAAGAAAACGAAACCCTGAAAGAAAAATCGAGCCTTCGCTTTTGTGCTCATGCAAGAAGACTGTGTTTCCCTGGGACGCTGGCGCACCTGGATGTAGAATCAGAAAAAGGAAGCAGTTTTTTTTTCATCTTTTGACAATGCGTCTTCTTTCTGCCGGCGTCATGATGTGCAGAAAAATCCAGTGGTCATTGTGGGCTCCCAAGTGAGAACTGAGAAAGCAGAGAAAGCGGCGAAGTGTGTAGTCGAAGCGTTCGGCTGCCGAACTGTCGTTACGAGTGATGGTAAAGGACTGTTTCCAGAGGATCACCCTGCCTTTGCTGGAGTTTACATGGGTCAGGTAAGGTATTGACGTTTTGTTTGTTTTTTATCGATTCTGCATCTCAACTCTCTCTCTCTCTCTCTCTCTCTCTCTCTCTTTGGACTTGTGAGTGACCGAACGACATGCTCATAGGAAGTAGAGAAGTGCCAGGCACTCCCAAGATGGATTTCACAAGCCGTCTACAGTTATTGATGTGGAGTCGTTTGATCTCAGGAAACTGACGCCTGAGAAATCCAGGCCTGAGGATAGCAGCATTCCCAGCCCCAGAAGATATCCATCTTCCCAGGCAGCATCTGAGCCGTGCAAAAAAAAATGTGACTGACCCCTCGCACATCTGGTTGCAGATGCAACAGCTGCACAGTAATCAATCTCGAACGAGCTGCTGTTTCACTAGGCTAAGACAGAACGTCGCTGCCAGCATATAAGGTCAGTTGGTGTGGAACTACACTCAGACAGGATCCTAAACTCAAGTATTGGAAAGAATGTGTGGCATCGTAGGTTGAAAGCCCTGGTATGTACCAGGTAAGGAAACTGTAGGTGTGCTGCTGGAATGAACCTCGGCGCTCGAGGGTATTGAGTCTCGAAGGCCCCTGGGTAACTTCCACTCATGGCGGCGTTTGTGGCCCAGCCGCAAACGCGTTCACCTCGTTGAGCCGCGTTCATTGAATGCGCATTCAACGCGTTCAGTTTCTGAATGCAGAATGCGTGTTCAATGTACGTGCGGTTATACAGCTCGTTTGTTGTCCCTCTTCTCCCTCTCTGCCGACGGTTTACTGGGCAGTTCTGATTGACGATGTATATGACTACCTCTCTGCGTGGCTTTTCTCTGACCGACCTGTCATCCCTTGACATGTTGATCTTGTGAATTTCAAATTGGAAATGCAGGTGGGAATCCCTATGGAATGTAGAGAAGTGGTGGGCACATGTGATGCGTGCATCGTCATCGGCGCGGTTTTCTCTGACTACTCGACAACGGGATTCAAAATGGATCTGAAATGGCAGAACACTGTCCAAGTAAATCTCTTTCTCCTTTTTTAGAATCTCATCTCTTTTCAAAGCAACACATTCGTTATTGCCACTCTTTGGTAAATTATTGCTATACCTGTTGGGCACTGGATACCATCCCGCTAACCCATGATAAATGAGGTGGTAAAATGGCATTTTCATTACCTTTAAACAAAGCACTGATTAAGCCCTGTTGGTGACCAGGAAAATATGCTCCCCTTTTTTTTTTGTTTTGTTTTTTTTTGTTTTTTTTGGGGGGGGGGCGGTGGGGGAGGCATAGGGCATTATCATGAGAGGTTTGTGACCAACGGTCTTTGGGGTTATTGAATGAACTTGGCAAAAGTGAAAATAAAGAAGAAAAGCATCTCTGCGATGAATCTTTGATTGCACAAAATTTTCGTTCTTTGGAAAGCTTCGTTTCAGATGGAGCCCAGTGCCGGCTTGTCTTCTTTTTCGAGATGGTGGCCTCATTCAGAATGGACGGAGTGCCTGGTGCACTAACACAGCCCTCCCTTATGTTGCAATGGGAGAACACTTTGCCTAGTCATCATAAGAGTCGATAAGACTCTAGACACATTCTGTTGCTAGTCATTCTCAGCTTCAAAACGCGTACATGGCGTTGAATATGGAGAATTTTGCATGCTGCAAGGCAGAATAGTTTAGTAGGTTAGAACAGCGGAATCATAATTCGCATGTCGGGGGTTCGAATCCCTCTTCCGCCAGTTGTCTATCTATGCTTTTTTCAAGCTTATGTATACTATACGATGTGCACACAGCGGATGGGAGATAGAGACTCAGTGTCTGTGTGTGTGTGTGTGTGTGTGTGTGTGTGTGTGTGTGTGTGCAATTCGCACGCCATGGCAAGCTACACTATGCCTGGCAAATTCCCCGATGACGTCATCGGCACACCCTTCAGCCTGGGAACCTTCAAAAGTATGGCCTCGTCTCAAGTCGTGGCAAGCTGGCTTCTATCCATGCTTTCAAGTATATTCTGTGAATAGCAAGTCAGGCGGCTGTCTCATGTCACGGCTCCGACTGGCAAGCTTGTGGTTCCGAGTTCGTCTCATGTGGTCATTTGGCTATTGTCTTTTCTGGATGAGATAACATCATTAGCCCTATTGATGTTCTACCTTTCTTCCTATTTCGCCTAATGTTGTGTGGTCTATGCTCATGCTTGTGGAGCTTACAGGTAAGCCCTGGCTTCCCGTTGTGGGAGATTCTGCGTTATAGGTAGCTTTGGGTCGGCACTGGGTTTTCATGGATTGATCTTGGGAAAAGAACACATGGATCATGATGACGGTTGTAGAGGATTACGCTCAATTTGATTAGTGGATGGTAACGGTTAATATAGCGCACGTGATACTCTGCTTGCCTCCCTACGTTCTGCTTGCCTCCCTACGTCCTTCATTCATGTAGATTTAATCATGCAATGCATCATAAAGCATAGACGGAGAATGGGGGATTTTAAGGTGAGTTGTTGTATGTTACTACCGTCTTCCCCCAAACACAACGCACCCTCATGTTGGCCGCATCTGGCCGGAAACATAGCTTGTATACATTCATTTTTAGGGTGCGTTATGTTCGGGGGAAGACGGTAGTGCTGGTGCGTGACCTAATTCTGAGATAGAACAGGATTAGGTTCTGAATTCTGTCGTCCATCCGTTAAAATTGGAATGATACAGAGAAGATTAGCATGGCCCCTGCGCAAGGATGACACACATAAATCGAGAAAAGGTTCTGAATTCTGTCCATGTATGGGACGCTGGACTTGTTTTCCAGCAGGTGTTGCTCCCCACCAATAGATGGAGCCTCCCCCCAGGTGCTAGCGGTGTCTGCTCGTACCAGCACCACTAGCACGTGGGAGCGTGCTTTTTTGTTTTGCCTAGGTGGGGGGATTTGGTGGCAAGTCCCTAGAGAAAAATAGTCGTTACAGGTAGCTAGGACCGCTTGGGTACGGACTATTACGCAGATGTGTCATTTTACTTCTCTATTATATAGTCCTGAGTTAAGAGGTACCAACTGTCGTTGAGGCAATAGCAATCCTCATTAGATTACTTGAAGTCGGAGCACCCATACTGTCACAAATACCTTATAGTGTGTTCAAACCAGCAAAGGTCCCTAATCGTTTATTGCATCTTACTTACACCCTGCTTGGACATCACTAGGGCCTCGATGAATCAGCCATCCAGGTGTGAAGGTGTTGAATACTCGTGAAACACAGCCATAAGTATGGCGCAGATTCCCAGAACCGACCAGATAATACAGAGTTATACAGATGCAAGCGGAAGACTTGAGATACCTTGGACTGACTCAGACCTGACCCGGACTGCAATCGAAACAATCTCAAGCATTCATCAGGGGTGTGAATGCCCTGGCCTCAGACATAGACGAAAGGCCAGGGACTGAGATCATACACGGACGAAGGGAGAGAGGGGAGAGATGGAGGAGGAGGAGAGGGAAGATGACGTCAACTCAATGTTTCCGAACTGTCAGAAGTGACGAAAATCCGAAATGTCGTGAATGACAAGCCTCACAATATCCCAGACGTCGATCTCACAATGTCAAGTACATCTCCGAAAGGAAGATGAAATCAGATCCCCATAAGTCCTCAACTCGTAGTCCCCAATGTCGCTGTCTCATATGTCATCAGAACTCGTAACCATCTCCCATACTGCAGTAGTCCTGTAGGAGAAGTAGAAGTAGATTTAGATTTAGACTGAGAAGGTAGGAGGAGTAGAGAGAGAGAGAGAGGGAGAGAAGCGGTAGAGGAGAAGATGGAGAGAAGGTGAAGCCTTCCTCCCTGGTACCTGGCTATGGCATAAAGGGATGGCTGGGCCGGTAACTGGCGAGGCGCCTAGTGCTGCGCTAATCCGCTCTCTGCTGAACCTCGCTCCTGCTCCTCGCTGCTGCAGCGCTGCGCTAACCGTGCTAACGCTGCTGCTGCACTAATCCTGAAGACTAACCTTCGTTCGTACTAACTTACCGGACTGAGGCTGGTACCCAGCCTTTTGTAGTGCTGGGCCGGCCTCTTGCCTACTGGTACCTACCGGCCTGGACCGTTGATCTGAATCGACGGTCCAGATTCAAACTGGTTTGGCGCCCAAAATGTGGCAGCCTCTGAAACGCCGCCGGTTGGTCCTGGGCTGGACCGGTACCGGCCTCTGGCCGTTTGGGCCTAACGTACCCTGCCTCAGGCCTATCTGGGCCTGGTCTGAACCATCGTCCCCCTAGGCCTACTCTGCCTACTGGGAATCAGGCCCTAATTGGGGCCGGTGTGGCTCAGTATGCCACACACTCCCCCCCTTGAAAGACCGAGCTAACTGCGAGGGCGAAGCTGTCTGTCCGATGTCCGTACAGGGCGGGCAGGTTGGGCAGCTTCCTTCGCAAGTCGCTGTTTTTCGTAATGCGCGAATATGAGGGGTGTTGTCGCCTTCAGATCAGCTTTTGAAATCCAGCGTGTCGTTCGGATCGCATTGCTTGAATGTGACTTTGTACTGCATCGGTTTGTTGCCATGATGCTTGCAATGCATGAGAACGCGGTCAACCTCCAGATGACCATCCATTGAAGGAGGGTCTTGTGACCGTCTGCCCGGGAAATCGGCTGCGGAGGCTGGAGTGTAAACCGCTAGCTTTGAAGTGGAGTGTAAACCGCCAGCTTTGAAGCGTGAAAGATCGGGTGGACCGTCAAATGCGGGGGAATCTCAACGATGAATGATGGACCCGTGGGGTCGTCGCCAGCTGCTGAAGTGACCATCCATAGTTCAAACCACTTTGGGAGGAGCTTGCGCGAGACGTCCTGCTCAAGCGCGAATTCCTTGGAGGTGACCCAAACTAGGTTGCCAGCGCGAATTGGACATGGGATGCGACGCCGGTTCGCTTGCTGCTGCATATAGACCTGAGCCTTTTGCATGTTTGCGCGGGCTTTGGCCAGCAATTCCCTGTACTTTCGTGTAGAAGCGGGGGAGCAAGCGGCGTCGATATCGGCAGCCCTTGGAAGCAAAATGTCTGCGAAGATACGTCCTTTCCGTCCACCATGGTGCAACTCGAATGGAGTCACGCCAATCGCCAGGTGCACCGAAGTGTTGTAGGCGAACTCGATGTCGGGAAGGCGGTCAACCCAGTCCTTCTGATCCGGGCGGATGAGTGTATGGAGCATCATCTGCGCAGTCTGGTGCGCACGTTCCGTTTGCCCATCCGTTTGAGGATGCCGTGCGGAACTAGGTTTCATGCTGGTGCCGGATTCCACCATGAGTGTCGTCCAAAAGGCCGACATGAAACGAGTGTCGCGGTTGCTGACGATGTCTTTCGGAACGCCGTGGCTGCAAAACCAGCCGGTATGCAAAAGTCGTGCGAGCTCGGGAGCCGTGGCATGATACTTGCATGGAAGAAATCGCACGTACTTGCTCAAACGGTCAACGACCGTGAGGATACCATCATGACCAAGGCGATCGCGAGGGAAAGGACCGGTCACATCCATAGCAATGGAAAGACCCGGTGCCCGAGGAATCGGCAATGGTTTCAGTTCGCCATAAGGGAGCTGACGGCGCCCTTTGTTCCGGTGGCAAACTGCACATGACTGAATATACCAGTTGACGTCGTTGATGATGTCCGGCCAGTGAAATCGCTAGCGGAGTCGTCCTAGTGTGCGTGCGACACCAAGGTGTCCCACCAGCCGCGAATCATGGTATTCGCCAAGGAGGCGGGTGCGCAAGATGCGGTCTTGGGGAACACACAACAAGTCCTTGCCTCGTGTATGAAGAAGCAAGTAGCCGTCGACAATGCGATAGTTGCTTGCCGGCGGTTGGTCCGATGATAAGTCATCATAGAGTGTGGACAATCCTGGATCCGACTTGTAGCCGTTTACGAAGTGCTGTTATGGAGTGCACCAAGGCGCAAAGATCAGGTCTTCGCGAGAGAGCATCCGCTGCCTTGTTCGAGGAGCCCGGAATGTGCTTGGAGGTGAAGTCGAACTGGTCAATGAAGTACATCCATCGACCGATCGTGCTGCTCACCGTGTCTTACGTCTTGTAGTATGTCAACGGATTGTTGTTCGTTGCCCACGTGAATCGCCGACGCCCGAGGAGAAGTGACGCCAACGCTTAGGTACGGTGACAAAAGCTAGGAGTTCCTTCTTCCTCGCATCATCAAGAGTGTTGATGGGCGGCACCTTTTGGCTGAAGTACTCTACCGGATGCCAGTCTGTGCCGTCATGCTGTTCCAAGACCGCGCCAATGCCATAACTGAAAGCGTCCGTAGTCACTTTGGTGGGCAAAGTTGGGTCATAGATGCTTAAGACGGGAGCTTGAAGCAAAGCCGTCTTCGGCGTGTGAAACTCATGCCGGGGGACTGAAGTCGCGACAATGGTGCAACGATGCGTTGAAATCCTTTGACGAAGCGCATGTAGTACGATGCCAACCCGAGAAAGGAGCGGACGTCGGTAGTACGCTTGAGGTCCCCCCAATCTTGAATAGCTTGTACCTTGTCCGCGAGCGGACGAATGCCTTGCGGCGTGACGTAATGGCCCAAGTACTCCAGCTCTTGCTGGGCAAACTCGCACTTGTCGCGGTTCGCCTTGTACTTGGCGATACGAAGCCGCTCCAATACGGCGCGAAGGTGCTCGAGATGCTCGTCCAGCGACCGACTATAAACCAAGATGTCATCGAGGTAAATGAGTACGGAGCGGTCGAGTAAGTCGCGCAATTCCGTCGTCATAGCTGCTTGGAAATCGAGGTAAATGAGTACGGAGCGGTCGAGTAAGTCGCAGAATTCCGTTGTCATAGCCGCTTGGAAAGTAGTTCGGGCATTGGTGAGACCGAAAGGCATATCGATCCACTCAAAGTGCCCATACCGCGTCTTGGAAGCGGTTTTGTACCGATCTCTTGGCTGAATCTCGATCTGGTGATACCGGACTTGAGGTCAAGCTTCGAGAAGTACTTGGAGCTGCCTAGTCGCTCGAGAAGATCATCGATCCGAGCTAGAGGGCCGGCGTTCTTGATCGTTTGCGAGTTCAGTAGTCGATGCAGAAACGAAGGTCCTTGTTCTTCTTCCGGACGAAGAGAAGGAGAGTGTCGTATGGCGAACAGCTAGGGCGAATCCAGCCCTTGGCTAAGAGGTCGTCTAGTTGTGCCCGAAGCACTTGTAGTTCCTCTTCGCTCATGCGGTAGATACATCTGCGCGGAGGTATGGCGCCGTCCTCGAGAGTGATCCCGTGGCGTATGGACCGATTCGGTATGACTCCGGCGGGAGCTTGAAAGACATCCTCATAGTTGTCCAACAACTCAGTGATGCGAGGGTCCGACGTATCCGTCTTGGGCTGATCACCGGGTGGGAGGGCGTGAAGAAAACATGTGCCCATCTCCTTGATGTCGTTCTGTCGGATGGACTGGCGAATGATCGCCACGGATACCACGTGACAACCAATCGAAGGACGAGGAAGCGGCACCGTACACGGGACTAGTTCGCCACGCCGATCACGAACGTGAACGGTGTGGGGATGGAAGTTCACCGGGTGGTCTTTGCGTTGCAGCCACGACATACCTAGGATCATATCGAACTTGGTGTCCAATATGTCGAAAGACACGGTCTCACTTGCTAGCGGGGCAAAGTACACGGGCACCATATCGAACTTGGTGTCCAATATGTCGAAAGACACGGCCTCACTTGCTAGCGAGGCAAAGTACACGAGCACCGAGTCAACGCTTCGGTTGATTGACTTTTGCGTGTGACCATCGGCCAACGTGACGTGCGTAGGCTGACTTTTCCTTCGAACGCGCGGGCCGAGCCCGGCGCGTGCTATGAAGTCTTGGCTGATGTAGTTGCGAGTCGCTCCACAATCGATCAAGGCACTGCAGGTCGCCTTTCCGATCTGAATGCGGATGTAGAGGAGCGCCGCGTCGTTGTCGACGTACCGTTGCGTTGCGTACTCGCGATCTATCTTTGCAAGATAGTTACGAAGGTCAACAACCGCTACTCCACCGTCCGTCGACGGAGGTGGTACTGCAGCGTGCAAGTATTCGCGTAGATGTGCCATTAGGGCATTGCAATGCGGAGTTGACAAGGACCCGGTGGAGGGAAGAGGCAACCATTGGAAGTTTAACTGTCAACGGATCGAGATCCTCAAGTCTCGTGCAAGTTGACAGATCCTCCGATAAAAGGGTTGGCGAAGCAATCGTTGTCCGACGGCGGAACTGCCGCACATACGCTTGAATCTTGCATGTGGAGAGGCTGGTTCAACGGTGGGACCAGCTCGACGACATAAGTCTCAAAGGCAATCCGAGAGCTTGCGACTACCGCGGTGTCCCCGGATGTGAGAGAGGCTGCTAGCAAGGCAGCCGACTCCGGCGGACTGGGAAATGCTGTCGCTGCACTTCCCGTGGTGCTCAGTTTCCCGGGCCCGAACGCTTGATATTTTCCTTGTCCTTGTCGAGGCAGGCACTGGGCCACAAACAGCATGACCACTTCTGTCGCAACTTGAACATTTCTTCGGTAATGCCAAATTTCGTCCATGGTGCCTGTCGTGCTCCATCCGCCGACACTTCTTTCGCCTTCTTCCCCCCTCGGGGTTTCGTGCGTCGCGGTGGTATCGCTGCCGCCACATCTCCATCACTTGATGTTGAAGCGGCTGCGTGGTCCTCACTTGTTCCTTGTTGGACTGCTGCTACTTGCGGCGTCCGTTGTCCCTTGCCTTCTCCACGTAACCGGGCTGTTGGCGGGGCTTGTTAGCCGCACGCCGGTTACCTTGTATAAGTTCTCTAGCTTTGGCGATCATGTCGTCAAAGTTCTTATAGTGGAATTCGCTGCCGAGAGCAGCCGTCAAGGCGTCACAAGACCGGGCGAAGAACTCGCCTCGGATTGAGTCGAACGGTAGGTTCAACTCCGGGGTGGCGACGAGTCTTTGCCACTCTGTCAGCCATTCCCACGAAGGTTGCTGGCCTTGGAAGATGCGGAAGATCTTGTTCAAGGCGTGACGCTTGTCGTTGTTCACCATGAACTGGGTCTTCCACTTCTTTTCAAACTCCTCCCACGTGATCTTCGTGTGGAGGGTGGCGATGGTACATTCCAGCGTGACGGCCATGTGCGTCATGAATTGTTGCGCCCCGCCTATAAGTTGGAGGTACAATGCGTCCATCTGCCGTAGGGGCGGAGTATGATGCACGTCGGCCTCCGCGTTAAACGCCATCCACCATTGCAGCGGATCAGTCTTATGGTAATTGTCGAACTTCTCGATCTCGAAGTTCGGCATCTTCCATTCCTTGGTGGCCGCTCGTTGCTGGACTTGATCGCTGAGCGTCTTCAATTGACTGCTGACTGTCGAGGTTCCAGCAAACTTGCTGATGTCGCCAAGGGATGCGACGATGTGATTGATCCGCTCATCGAGTTGTTTGGCTTGAGCGGCCAAAGCTGGGCTGCTGTCTGAAATTGCACCGCCCGTTGACTCGAAAGCGGACAGCCGTGCCATCCCGGCATCAACAGAGTCCTGCAGTCGGTCGTTGATGGCCTGCTGTTGGCTGTCGGCGGCCTGCAGCATGCTGGTGTCGGCTTGCAGGGCAGTGATGTTCTGATCCATTGCCTTGAAGTTGCCTTCATGGCGGATGAGGACCTGCCGCATAGCCAACAGTTCCCGTTGTTGCCAATTGCACGTGTACAGCAGGTTCTCAATCAAGACTGCTGTAGTTTCCCTGTTTCTCTCGTCCTCGGTTGGTTCTTCTTGCTCCTCAGTTGCTCGGAAGTGCTGCTGTGGAAGTACTCTACCGTATGCGGCTTCTTCATTGAGAAGGTTCATTGCAGCCTGGAAACGAGCCTGAGTTTGACTTGCGTCGAGCTGCTGCTGCTGCTGCCTTGCGGCTGCTGCAGAATCGGCAACGGCCTGCTGACGTGCTGCCTGTTCCGCTTCTTGTTGGAGTCGGATGGCTTCCCGTCGGGCGGCATTCTCCTTCTCCCATGTGCGGAGTTTGGTGGCATTGGTCTCCGTGTACTGTTGGAGACGCTCGAGAAACGCGAGTGCGTCTTCATCGGCCCGTTGAACTGGCACAGGAGGGGGAACCGGCCTCTTGGGACTGCCTGGCATATTGCTGTCGGCATGGCCGGCTGCGGCAGCCATGGCTGTGTCACTTGCGCGCGATCTGCGGTGCCTTGGGTCACTGTACTGACATGGCACTCTGACGTGTCACTCTGCTGACGTGTCACTGTACTGACATGGCACTCTGCTGACGTGGCACTTCTAACGTGTCACTCTGCTGACGTGTCACTGTGCTGACGTGGCACTCTGCTGACGTGGCACTTCTGACGTGTCCAGAGACTGTAGTCTGAAGGACCGAAAGGAGGAAAGAGAAGGTAGGGGTGGGAAGAAGGGAGGGCAGGCAAGCAATGCACAGTCAGTCCCGTTCCGCCCTGACCTTGACACTAATCAAAAAAATTCCCCCCCCCCGATGAATTTTTGAATTTCGGGAAATTAAATAAAATTTTAATCCAAAAAAATATAGGAATTGATAAAATTTTAATTTTGGCAAAAGATTAAATACCATACTTGCGGCGCATCGAGGTGCGCGGCATCCCGCACAAGTGCCGCACTGCGCACCGCGCACGGGGTGCGGCGCACCCGGAAAATAAGGGGTCGGTAAAAAAAAAAAAAAAGTTGGTGAGGGGTGTTGTAGGCTGAAGTGGGATGTCGCATCAAGTTACAAAAAAAAAAAATAAAAAAAAATTGAGGCCGCGCGGGGCCCTGGAACTGAATTTTTTTTTTTAAGGAATAACATCAGAATTTCTTTGCACGAGTGAAGCCCGGCACGTCCAACCTGTCAGAACCTCAACGGTACTTGGAGTCTGTATGGTCGTGATCTCTCAAAACGTTCTCTTCGTATTACTTCTGAAGTAGAAAACGACGGAACTGGCAGCCGTTTTTCCTGGATTTTTTTTTTTTTAATGAAAGGAAAAAAACGTAAAGGAAGAACAGCTCTTTGCACGAGTGAAGCCGGGCGCATCCAACCTGTCAGAACCTCAACGGTAATGTTCACCAACGGGCTCGCTGCACAACTCTCGACGTGCCCAACAAGACATAGGGCCTCTCTCCACTACTCTCAACATGCACAAAAGACAAAAATATTGGCGGTGTATTTTTCCATATTCTAACGCAAGATTCACTCTCGTTTTGCAGATTTCCAGAGTAGTGCAGCGAGGCCCATATATGGCAATGTATCTTTCCATGTTCAAGCGGAGGATTCAGTCTCATTTGTTCAGAGATTCTCCAAAAAAAAAAAAAAGTTTCCAGAGATACGTTACGTGCTTACCGGATTCATCGGCCCTTCGTTCTCCACCACCCAACGTATGAATGAATCTTCCGCCAAAACATGGAAAGATACACCGCCATATTTYTTGTCCTTTGTGCATGTCGCCCCCCTTCCGGATTCATGTTGCCCGTTGATAAGGGCGGTTTCTTCGGTCCGATAGTGTCAGCACACGGTTTCTTCTCTCTCACACGGTTTCCTCTCTCTCTCTCTCTCTCTCTCTCTCTCTCTCTCTCACACACACACACACACAAATGTGGCGGTGTATATTTCCATGTTGCAGCKGTAGATTCACTCGATTTTGCTCGTCGTTTCGATGGAAGTACCAGGAGGCCAGATGCGACGTTGGAGACCTCTCTCTCTCTCTCTCTCTCCCTAAAATAAAAAAACAGTAAAATAAATCCCTAAACAAATAGTAAAATAAAAAAAATAAAGTAAATGGTGTGCGCACCCGGCGCACCTGCGCCCCGCCAGGGTGCACCCCCCAGCGCACCTGCGCGCAGAGCACCGGCCCTGAGCGCAGCGCACTGCGCACCCGGGTGCGCGGCGCGCGCCGGTGCGCGCGCACCTCGGGTCCGCGCACCGCACAGCGCGCGGCGCACCGCACAGCGCACAGGGTCGGTGCGCCGCAAGTATGTTAAATACCTGATTAACGAATATTTACATTTGCAATAATGAATTTCACAAACGTTAAATATTTAATCAAGAATACTTAAATTTGCATTAATAAAAGAAATGAGACATAACTTCCAAAAAATTTCACGAAATTTCGTCGCAAGAATTTAGCATCATCACGAGGTCACTCATTTAGTAGAGATGAATGGTAGCAGGAAGATACACAATTTGCTGGAAAGATTCAACCTTTCAACGCAAAAAAGATGYAGTTTTGCAAAAAGTGAAAGTTCCGTGMAGTTGCAGTTCGAATATGGCCTTGCTCAGSCCCGATCAGCCTTGATTGGCGCGGTGCCTGGCTGGCACTTACTTCCGATAGGTTAGGTAGGTCGTTTAGATTAGGTTAGGACTAACCCTAATTAGCGCTAATTAGGTTTACTCGTAATTAGCGATTTCCTAATTGCGCGATATGGAGAAATGTTGCAAACCTAAAATTATAGTTGAAACGACGTTTTTTTTTTTTTTTTTTTCAAAACAGAACCTTACGGTTCCGGCTCCTTTTCCATTCTGGGAAGCATCAGTCCGGTTCCTATTCCACCGGAAAGTCAGGCAGAATTGCAATGAGAACTCACACACGCACCTCCCCCTTATGGTGTGGAGGCCCGAAGGACGGCATTGATTGCTTCCTTAAGGAAGGATGTACCATCCCTCACCCCTGCCTAAGTTAGCCTGATGATGCTAATTTCTACCCTGACTGCTCTCCAGTTGTCGTTTGCTAACTGTTTCCTGCAAGGATAGGTCGGGCTAGCTCGTTCCTCTCAGCTACTTGGCTGTCAGAACTGCTAGCTGGACCTTTCCTGTCTCTTGTTAAGCCCTAAACCCTTGTACTTGCAACGCCACTTATTACCTATTTTGCAGTCTGCTGGACTAAACCTTGTCTAGAGGTACTCAGGAATCTGCCAAAGTTAGAAATGTCCCGATGTCTGGCGGAATATAGCCTTTTCTCTATTGGGGTGGGGGGCTGGTTGGTAAGGAATGCTTTATGACGGTGGTATTGTGGGGTAGCTGTGGAGCGCGGGAGACGGGGGGTGAAGGGGGAATGTAGGTTAGTTTGTGTTTGGTCTAGCTTGGGGCGCTAGGGAGGGGGGGGGTAGGAGGGCATGTATTGAGTAGGAAGTGGCTTGTGAGGTTGCTGTTGTAGGGACGGGTGAGCGGTGTGGGGTCGATTGAATGGTAGGGATGGCTGAGATGATATTGGTGACGGATGAGTTGTTATCTTTCGGATGGCCGGGTTATGTGCGGAGGGTAGGGACTTAATAGTGACAGTCTAATTTTGTCTTGGGTCGGGTTTCTTTTTGTAGCTCGGGTGATGGTTTTGGTTGCTGCTTGTATAATCCTGTGTTTGGGTTGCTTCCCTGGGTTTTTAGTGTTCTTCGGTTTTGTGTGTGGTTTCTTGCTGACCACCCTCCGTGTTTTGCTGTTCCATGTCATTCTTGCGGGAATTTTGGTGTCTGACTCTTGTCCTTGCCCGGACTTGACTATCCTGGTTTTGTGTTAGTCCTGAGTCGATCTTGAGTCATATGTTTAAGTTGGGATGTGGATGTCTCTATTATCTGTTGGTTCTCACATTGGTTTGGACTAGGGTTCGGGGGGTAGTATCTGTTGTGTGTTCTTCCATAGGCTACTCTGAGTGTATGTTGGCTTCCAGGGATTGGGGGATACTGTTCAATGAGTGGCTCTGTGATTGTTGGTTTATTATGGTTTCCTCCCATAGTCGGAAAACTAGACGAGCCTCGGATGAGAGCGATTTTGCCTTTGGCTAGGACATTCTCCTCGAACTAATTTTGGTGCTCGTTGGCTTTGTCCTCGTCTTCCTTCATTTTCCTTCTTACTTTGCGCCACATGGCCCAGTACTCTGTTTCCACTTGTTGTTGTAGTATTTCCCATGCCTCTTTGGTGTGCATATTTTGCTTATCTATGGTTTCTTGACACCTTTTCCTCCATATTGCCCATAGTGCTGCTTTTCTAAGAATTCCAAAAAGGGTGTGTTCTAATATGCTCCAGTCCTTCGGACCATTAAATCCTAGGAGTAAAAGTGTATTGCTGTTGGTTAAGGTTGTGCCTGTTACCGTGCTCCATGTATTTGCAACTTTCTGCCATAGTGGTTTTATTCTGGGGCATAGGAGAAAGCAATGGAGTAAGTTTTCTATTTGGCCATCGTTGCAATTAGCACATAATTCCTTCGCCGGGTTTCTGTCTTCTTTTCTCCTTCTGACGTTTAACCATTTATTCAGAGGGACTGCTAGATAAATGATTAACCATTAAAGGCTTCTGAATTTGGTCGGGTGGGTGGATGCTATTTTGTCCCATGGTATTGGGTCAGCTGGTTCTATTTCTACCTCTAGGTGCTTTTTCCACCGGTGTGCTATTATTGAGTCTGGGTTTGCCGAACTGCGTCTCAGCCTATAGCCCAGCCTGGTTGTGTATTGTAGTAAGTTGAGTTTGGTGTTGATTCCTGATGTTCCTTGCCTTAGATTCCATGCCCATTCCGCTGGGTCTACTTCTAAATTCTCCAAGGGGATTTGGGGGAGGTAGATGGTAAGGGATTCATTTTCTATTATCTTTCTTAGATTATCCTCTTGGACAGAGACTAGTGCAGTTGATTGTTTACTGATCTTGCTGAGGTCCGAGCCTGGTTCTTCTATTTTATGCATGGTAAATATGTGCCAGTCTTGTTTGGTTTCTTCTCTACCCCAGTATGACAGTGTGTGTTCCTGCTGAGGTTCGTTAACTATTACGGCCCAGTCTCCTGTGTTCCATTGTCTGTCTTTTTTTAGTATTGGGATCCATTCTTGTGGGATGGCTGCTAAGATTTCTTGTAGGTTCTGGTTCAGCCGATGGCAGTGCTTGAGCTGTTGTTTGAGTTGGCTGTCTTGTTTCCATTGTTTCGTGTTGTCGTTCCAAATGTGTTTAATGTGCCATATTCCTTTCTCAGATTTTTCTAGCCAGACTCCCCACCTTGCATCCTTTGAAGTTCGTGTGAATGGGCTGCCGTCTTCTTTTGTTATCCACTGGTTGCAGAATAAGGGTTGTCGTGGTATTTCTTCCTTGCTATTGGGTTTCTTGACTTTAGCTGGGAAGATCTCTCTCCAGTCTCGAAGGATTCCTTTCCAGAATTTCAACCTAGGATCGTTTCTTGAGGCCTGGTTTCCTCCTTTCATTGACCATGATTTACTCATTATCCAGAAGGATCCTTCCATGTT